AATTTAATATTCACTTGCATCATAAATAGTAGTACTGCACTTGCAAAATACTTAAAAAATACAATTTATAAAACTAATTGTAATACGTATTTTATATATACCCTTTGATTTGTTGTAATTTTGAAACTTTTGTTGTTTTTGTTTATTTGTGTTTGTTTTTTCTGATCTGTATCCTTACCATACAGCACCCACTGATGGTGCAGTTGTGTAATAAAGTTATTATTATTATTCTTTTCAAGCGTAGACTTTATTTGAGTGTAATGATACGCAACAACAATTCGTTTACAGCATTGGTTTTATTGAAGTTTTTAATGCTTTTCGGCTTCACAGTGAATTATTTTAGCGTCATATTTGAAAATAGCGCGCTCGATACAAGATGTCGGACGGGAAAATTGGGGTCTGTAAAAATGTTTGTTGGTTCAGTCAGACAATGTGTGGAACAAAACATCGCCCACTATTTGAAACATCGCCCATGGGCGGGGTTTAGGATGGGCGGGGTATCAGCCGATTCCGGTATTTATATTAAGCCATAATAATTAGATTTGTTGTTAATTATTAGTAATAATGATAGATCTGTATTACAATCATATTCTAATATGAATAAAAAGTACAATAAAGTATATGTGAAATAGAAACAAAAATAAAATAATAGTTTATTATAAACTAATTCATAACATTCATACAAAATGATATTAGGATTGTTTTATCAAGTTCATCTGCACTAGGTCATGGTGTTCAGTTTGATACACTTTATGATTCACAGGTGGATTTACAAATAACACCAACAAATAAAAAAAAAAACTTGAAATGACTTCATTGTCTGAAAATGTTGCTCGCAAAAAAAAATATTTGAAAAAAATATATACAGGTATCATTCTTACAATGTATAGTGCCCTATGGCAATGAATCAATTCAGTGGTGTAAGGGATGGCGTTCACAACATCCATTTGTTTTGATCTGTAGCAGTCTGTCATTAAAAAGTAATTTTAATAGACCATTTTTCGTTCACTGCGAGATCACCGCATTATGCGTGAAATGAAACGTAAAAACAGAACAAACAAAGGTCATAGCGTTATAGTGGTGGATTTGACGAACGTGAAAGTATTTTGGTGGATATTTCCATGCTTAATAATGTGCTGTACACATTTGATGATGGTCAATTTCGATGAAGTAAGAGTATTCAAATGCAATATTCCCCTGTCAAAGATCAGCCTTTCGATGTGAGTTACATAGTAAAGAAATTCGTGTTCAAAATCAAATCAAATTTTTGTGGCAGACATCCGGCGTGTGTCTTTCACGGAACTCGCGAAATCTCAACTTTATAAAGGGAATGGAATGTGCAAGCTATGTAATGACGACAAAGAAGATATTTATCATTTTCTATTTTCATGCAAAGCAACTTATCATTTAAGACACAAATTTTATGGAGATTTCATGTACAAAGTTCAAAACCTTGAAGTAGACCCAACACTTATTAATAACTTTCTTTCTGGAGGAATTAATTTTAAGTTTAATGTACTTTTTAGCGACATATTGTGGAAAGTCAACAATAATTTGGGGAATATTGTATCCAAGGAAGTTAGAGTATTTATTACTCAATTGTATAAGTATAGAAAAGAAAGTTTGAATTTAATGTGATTTTTCTTCTTTCCTTTTTCAAATATGTATGATTTGGTTGTTTTCTTCTCTTTGTTTGCCGCTCCAAAGGCTAATAAAAAATATTATTATTATTATATTATAACTGGAAAATCACCTATCGCTACATTATAAAATGATACAACGACACATTTTAGAAAAAAATATGGTATCTATTGGAAAAGAAATTTGAGCATGCTCAGAATAAATAATTAGCTTAGATTGTAATGCTAGGGTTTTTAGTAATGTCATGACCTGGTCATGATCTTGATCTGAATCAGTGACAAATGGGTTGTACCATTACCAATCTCAGTAGAAAATGTAGAGGGGTGTCAGGGCTACATTTTGATGGGAATTATAGTGGTGAAACAAACCCAGGTCCTGGTAATATACAAAGACCTTAATTTAACAAAGAAGTCAAGTTGTTATTAAAGGTACATCAAGGTTTACTCAGATTTTTGAATGCAGTTTCTTGAGCATGTATGAGACATAGTTTGGTTGCACTTGTGTACTTGTATTTTGGACCCAGGTCAATGAAAATTTTCAGTTATCAAATTAAGGGAAATCACTTTATGATGAGTTGTACCCACATAGAGTACATATTAATTTAATTATTTGCATATGTTCCATGTATTATTTTAACATAGGTATTTTATAATTAAATAATGGGGACTGTGACATTCATGTCATGTTATTGTTTTCCCAAAAATAGATGGCTCCATTATAAGTTCACCTGTACTAGGTGTTGATGGTAGCATATACTTCGGCAGTGTGGATGGAAACATGTATGCACTGTATCCTAATGGTCAACTGAAATGGAAAAAAGATTTAATCGACGAGATCTGGGCATCTCCAGATATATTAAATATGGATGATAAAGAATACATCTATATTACAGTGTTGTCTGGATATGTACCAAATATATTTGCATTGGATGGCAAAGACGGTAAGTTTTAGACAATTTATTGTCAAGATGATGATGACATTCTCATATTAGGATAGAATGTACTCTATCCTCCCCTATTATGGTGCATTATATGGTATCACCCAAATATTGGATTTCCATATTAGTATATAATGTACTCCATCACCCCCTATCATGTTGCATCATATGGTATCACCCAAATAGTGGATTTCTATATTAGGATAGAATGTACTGCATCACCCCCACTAGGTTCCATCATATGGTACCACCCAAATATTGGATTTCCATATTAAAATATAATGTACTCCATCACCCCCTATCATGTTGCATCATATGGTATCACCCAAATGTTGGATTCCCATATTAGGATACAGTGTACCTCATTACCCCCACTAGGTTGCATTAAATGGTATCATCCAAATGTTAGATTTCTATATTTTTGTTATATTTGTATATTTTCCATATATGAACTTCTTGATTTTTGAAGGATTGTTAAAATGGGTAGAAGGACTGGAAATTGTGTTTTTAAAGGGGAACCTTTTAAGCCTAGGGATTGCACCAAAGAATCATGGGACACTATTGTTTATTTTGTTTACAAAATTAATCTATCTTGTGTTATCCATTGTAATTTTAATCCAGAAAGTAAATTTGTTGTGAGATTAGGCTTAACTGGAAGTGCCCCTTTAAATACATATTTGTATCTGTTAGTATTCAATTCACAATTACACTGTAATGAATTATTATTATAGGTAGCACTATTTTCTCGATAAATGTTGGAGGCGATGGACTGTTTGCATCTCCTCGATTAAGTCTTGACAATTCCACTGTTTATTTATGTGAAATAAATGGTAGAATACATGCAAGAGATTCTCGCAGTGGTCAACTGAAAGAAATTGTTCGTATTGAGAATGCAGAAATCAATTCAACACCTGCTGTCAATCAAAATGCAGTTATTGTTGGTGAGTTGTAACATCCATCTATCAAAATAATGATTGTGATATACATGTAGCTATACATGAATCAAACTAAATATAAATTCTAAGTCCCCAACAAACTAGATCCGAAATAGTGACATATGTTTCACATTTTGTGCATCTATATCCATCCAATGTCTGTCTGTTCAATTTGGGTACAAAAACAAGCTATAACTATGACTGCCAGTTTTGTCCAAAAAAAACCCACACCAATCAACATTTTTGGGCGTACCATGGTCGGTTGCATTTAAACTCTGTATTGACATCACTAACGGTAGTTTACTAATTACGCTTGTCAGTGATTCAAAATTATCGAATGGCAGCCATATTGATTTTATTTTCATGGTTCTTATCCATTTCTCTATCAAGTGTTGATTAATTTTGTGCAAAGTTGGAACAAGGACATGGACGTTTGTTTCTCATTTGGATTTTTAACTGGTGGACATTTTTATCTCAAAATACAAAATTTGAGCATGACATCTCAACCATTTCTCAGACATGCCTGGGCCAGTTTTACTCAGACTTAATGCTATGTCTCGTTTTGTGATTTGATGAAAAATGGCCAACAGCTGGTCGTTTTTTTTTTTTTTTTTTTTTTGTCCGAAACTATTTCTTATACAAATTTTGTTCAAAGTTGGTAAAAGACGTAAAATTGTTATAATTCATCCTAATACAGACAGGGACTATGCATCTTAGTTTCTCAGATTCCTTTTGTGGATATCTACAATGTGCTAGCTATTGAATACAGTATTTGGTTATTCTCAATAAAACAAATCTTTAATATTCACAGCAACAAGTAGTGGGAATGTGATAGGTCTGCATCTGGACTCACTCAATACTATTTGGGAGACATTCATCGGAGGCAACATAATGTCATCACCATATATGGGTCCTAATAACAAAATATATATAGGATCAGGAGATGGTAGAATCTTGGCAATTAATGAAACTGGTATGTAGTTTTCATTAAATTATTTGTCATTACCTTTCCTCATCAGGTAATATCAAATTTGAATACAAATACAATCTAAAAAAAGTATTTTTTTTTGTAATTCCTCAACCTTGCCATAGAAGGTAATTTTATGGATTGCATCAAATAATGGGGTCTCAACCTTGCCATACAAGATAATGTCAGTGATTGCATCAAATAATGGATCTCAACCTTGCCATATAAGGTAATGTCAGGAATTGCATCAAAAAATGAGATTTCAACCTTGCCATATAAGGTAATGTTAGGGATTGCATCAAATAATGAGATCTCAACCTTGCCATCATAAGGTAATGTCAGGAATTGCATCAAATAATGGGATTTCATCCTTACCATATAAGGTAATGTCAGGAATTGCATCAAATAATGGGATTTCAACCTTGCCATATAAGGTAATGTTAGGGATTACATCAAATAATGGGATTTCAACCTTGCCATATAAGGTAATGTCAGGATTTGCATCAAATAATGGGATTTCAACCTTGCCATATAAGGTAATGTCAGGAATTGCATCAAATAATGGCATTTCAACCTTGCCATATAAGGTAATGTCAGGAATTGCATCAAATAATGGGATTTCAACCTTGCAATATAAGGTAATGTTAGGGATTGCATCAAATAATGAGATCTCAACCTTGCCATATAAGGTAATGTCAGGAATTGCATCAAATAATGGAATTTCATCCTTGCCATATAAGGTAATGTCAGGAATTGCATCAAATAACGGGATTTCAACCTTGCCATATAAGGTAACGTTAGGGATTGCATCAAATAATGGGATTTCAACCTTGCCATATAAGGTAATGCCAGGAATTGCATCAAATAATGGGATTTTAACCTTGCCATATAAGGTAATGTCAGGAATTGCATCAAATAATGGGATTTCAACCTTGCCATATAAGGTAATGTCAGGAATTGCATCAAATAATGGGATTTCAACCTTGCCATATAAGATAATGTCAGGAATTGCATCAAATAATGGGATTTCAACCTTGCCATATAAGGTAATGTCAGGGATTGCATCAAATAATGGAATCTCAACCTTGCCATATAAGGTAATGTCAGGAATTGCATAAAATAATGGGATTTCAACCTTGCCATATAAGGTAATGTTAGGGATTGCATCAAATAATGGAATTTCATCCTTGCCATATAAGGTAATGTCAGGAATTGCATCAAATAACGGGATTTCAACCTTGCCATATAAGGTAATGTTAGGGATTGCATCAAATAATGAGATCTCAACCTTGCCATCATAAAGTAATGTCAGGGATTGCATCAAATAATGGAATCTCAACCTTGCCATATAAGGTAATGTCAGGAATTGCATCAAATAATGGGATTTCAACCTTGCCATATAAGGTAATGTCAGGAATTGCATCAAATAATGGGATCTCAACCATGCCATATAAGGTAATGTTAGGAATTGCATCAAATAATGGGATTTCAACCATGCCATATAAGGTAATGTCAGGAATTGCATCAAATAATGGGATCTCAACCATGCCATATAAGGTAATGTCAGGAATTGCATCAAATAATGGGATCTCAACCATGCCATATAAGGTAATGTCAGGAATTGCATCAAATAATGGGATCTCAACCATGCCATATAAGGTAATGTCAGGAATTGCATCAAATAATGGGATTTCAACCATGCCATATAAGGTAATGTCAGGAATTGCATCAAATAATGGGATCTCAACCTTGCCATCATAAGGTAATGTTAGGGATTGCATCAAATAATTGGATCTCAACCATGCCATATAAGGTAATGTTAGGGATTGTTTTTATTGCGTTTAAAATTGTTCTATTTCAAACAGCGAATACACACAGTGGTTTCTCAAAATGCATACTAATTAGGTAACTTGTCACTGACATAAGTCACTGAAAACATTTTGAGCAATAGAACTAGAGTGAAATATAAATGTGTCCTGCATTCTCCATGAATTTTGTAACCTGCTATGATCAGGGTAAAGAAAAAACCTGTGGTTACTTTCAACAGTTTGCTTGAGTCTGATCAAAAATGTGTCTCAAAAAATACCTTGTACATCAGTTTTTTGCTTATTATTTCGGCTTGTAACGATAGCATACATGATAATTCTAAATAGACTAATTCTATCGGAAAGCATTTTGGCGCAATTTTACTGAAAAGACAAGTTTTTCATTTCTCGTGAATATTCACTAATGCAAATGGCGATTATTACCACCAATCGTGTCATGCAACTCCCCCTCCCCCCCCGACCATAACCATAATATTACTGCCTTTCAATTTTATTCACTCAGATGGTGCTCTGATTTGGTCAAAACAAACTGGTAAAAAAGACGTCTGGTGCACACCAAGATTGGACAATGATGGCCGACTATTTATCGGTGCCTTTGATGAACACATGTATGCATTGAATGCTACAACTGGAGAAGAAATATGGAAGACCAAGATTGGCGCTCCAATCATCGGTTCACCGTTAATAACATCAAAATATAGACAGTTAACTCCATGGGAAATAGCAAATCTGTGATTTCAGTCTTGTTAACTAAAAATAGTTGTCATGGTAATCACTCTCGTGCTCTTAATCCACCAGATTCCCCATCCAAGTTGTACATTTTCGTATCGTATAAATTTTGATCAATGATGAGGAAACACCAGATACTTTACGGATAAGAGACTATAATGTGTAGCAGTCATAACCATAGCAACCAGCACTATATAAAATATTTATTCATATTAGATCACTAGCATGGGAAACTGATTTATTCATTGTTCCATTCATTGATACATGTACACAAGGGTGGGCTTAGATACCGTAAAATCTGTATTAGAAGCCGCATCCCTAATAGAAGCCATACCCATACTTTTTGAACAATTGATACCTAAAAATTCACCATTTCTCATATGTGTAGATGCTCTAATAGAAGCCGCATCCCCTCTGTTGCATTGTACCATTTTATTAGAAGCCGCGGCTTTTAATACAGATTTTACAGTAATAGTATATTCTTGATGACATAGAATTGAAAGTCAGAATTTTCTGACCAATTTTCAATTTAGAATAGCAGCCAGATAGTGCGTAGAGTGTATGTGTCATTTAACATTATACTTCTCTCCCACAATGCTTTGCATATGTGCGGTAAAATGTGTATTCGTCTGAAACTCATTTGACATGCTAATATATCTAAGATTACTTTACGATAGACAGTAAGTGTATGAACATTTTCACGTTTTAAAACACCACTTCTAGAATGGTCATACCTCTTGTAGCAACCTAAAAGAAATTAACTGCCAGAAAGAAAATAAAGATACAGTTTGTAAATTAAAGCTCTAGGTACCAGTTGTGGTTCAATGTATTTTATGCATTGTATCATGGGACCTTCGCCATTAAGACTCTACGTTTCTGCTAATTAATACATTGAGTGAATTTCATGGCATTTCAACGTTTCAGTGTGGTTTGAATTCATGAACAACTTGAGGAAACTAATTGTAATACACCAGGTATTAATCAAGAAATTGTGATCATGCACACTTGTATTTTTTGCACAAATTTCATATTTTTTTATTACCATGTAAATGCCTGATTTGATGATGCTCAAGTACAGTACAGATTTTTATATACAGATGCATGCATGTACATGTATATAACATTATTTTAACTCACCTGCATATTAAACTGGACATTTATTCCCATAGATTTGCAGAATAGAATAATAAGTACATCAATTTTATATTCAGTTTACATCGATACCATACTAGCCTGACATGTTCGTTTGAATTGCGTCCTCCGTGGTGGTCCAAACCCAACACGCGCCTGCAGAATGATGTAGTTTTTCACTTTCCTCGACGATTTTTTGTGAGTACCAATCAAATTGCAGGAACATCAGAGTTTATTTGTTTAACATAATGTGTGATAAGGTGCTAGCAAATTTGTGGTGAATGTTTATCATCTTGTTGAAAACTGTCTGATAATGCAAACACGACTTTGATTGTTGGTGTGAAGAAGTGAACTTTGCCGACGAGACACACTATTCTCTCAGGCGTTAGTGGGGTCTGATGCAGTACGTACATGCTCAGTATCACATGTAAAAATTAAAAGCTGCAGCTTCTATTAAAATGTTACAAAGCAACACAAAGACGAAATAGTAAATTCTGTGTTTTGTATGAAAATAATGTGCAGCTTCTAATACAGATTTTGCTGTAATTGTTTCAATGTAATTTCGTCAATTAACCTTCAAAACAAAGCTGCATTTTTACCACTGAGGGCATAATTTCCTTACATTGAAATGTAAATAAAAACAATGCTTGCCAGGCAGTTTCACCAGACATCTCTCACATGATTAAAAAAAACGACGATTACTGGTTGTTTTCTGACTTTATTCTAGTTTCTCCCATAAATCACATCAAATTTTTTATTCAGCATCTGTAAATTGTATATCAAGAAGTCAAATATCTCATTTGATGTTAGCAGCTGCATACTCTGATCATTTAATAAGAAAATTTAATTTTATGACTACTAGTATGGTGTACATATAAAAAAAAACACACCACATATACTCCAGCATTCCCAACTAGGGTAATCGAACCAACCTATAAAATCGAGCAATGATTATTGCGCTTATATTTAATTTCAGTGTTAAAAGAAAGTTGCACTGTATCTGTATTCAGATAAATAAATCATGTGATATGTAAAAATATACAGCAAAAACATGTACATATTTCAGATTGACTGTTTTAAGCTTCATATGTTGTGGAAGACACGTTGCCACCATGTCCAGTCCAATTGGTATGTATGTATTTACCAGGATCAGCCAACAGTTCATATGTATGAGCACCGAAATAATCTCTCTGGGCCTGCAATGAAATAGACTGAATAGGTGATTTTCCGAACAATTGCGAGATCTCGCGAGATGCATGAAAGACGCGCGTCGAACGTCTGGATTTTGAACTAGAATTTCTTTATTTCGCAGCTTACATTGACCGGCCGATCTTCGACAGAGGAATATTGCTTCCGAATACCCTCACTTAATCGAAATTGCCTATCATCAAATGTGGACAGCACATTATTAAGCATGGAAATGTCCCCGAAATACTTTCACGATGTTTGACGCGACTACGACGCTATGACCTTTGTTTGTCCTGTTTTTACGTTTGATTTCACGCATAACGCGTGATTCTCGCAGTGTACGGAAAATGGTCTATTTTAATGATTTGATCATTGCCTGATAAACTGAGGTGAGAGGTATCAATGAGCTGATTGGTGATAAAGTTGAAAATGAAATGGGACATCTTCTTTATTCTTTCATTAATATGAGTTAATAAATTTATTAGGATCTAAGAGAAAATAAAATTGTAGTTTGTCATGGAATATGTGAGAACATGCTTATAAACGACCATTCTCGTGCATATGCATGGGAGTGATGATGACTAGTTGTTTAAATTTATACAAGAACGTATTAAAATAAAAAGAGCAAACTCAATGTCGGTGTCTCGTTGTTTACACGAATGTGCTTAAAAACGGTCATTCTTGTGTACTTCTGAATGATACAGTGTTAAATGAGAACACATGTAAGAATAACTATTCTTGCACATGCATGAGCACGGCCATTATTTGGCATTTTAAATACCTGAAAATGGTCAAATCATTTCTTCGAATCTAGAAACTGTGCTTGTTTACATTATTTAAATAGTTTTCCCATTATATACAATGGGAAGTTCTCGCCTATAATGCATTGCATTTATGCTCAGTGCAAAATTGAAATCAAAACTCTTTAATAAGACATTCAGTTCAAACTCCTTTAAAGACATGATCAGAAATCCATAATTTTGTTACTAGAAAACTACATTTTGGGTCAAATCATGTGAAGTATCTGTTTCACCAAGAATGGCAGTTTTGTATCGGCAACTATTACCAGTATTACCACAAAAATCAATAAGTTTGAAAAAACAGAATTACGTAGAAAAGATCATCACTCTTGTCTTTGAGTCTTACCTGGATTAGATTAGCTGGTAATCTAGCCGATCTGTAGCCATCATAGAAAGCCAATGCTGTACTGAATGCTGGAGTTGGGATACCAAGCTGTACAGCTGTTGCTACAACATGACGCCAAGAATTCTGAATAAAAGTTAAAACCAAAGTTACACGAATAAAATTTGAAAATCTACCACTATACTGTACACAGGGCAATTTCAGTTAGTAAACATTCAGACATCAATTTATATAAAAATGTCAAGAAATTCATTCCAGAGAAGCAACCTTGCGAGTTCAATTCTGTTTAAAGCAATAGTGTTTACCCTCTTTTCATCACAAATTCACAAAATAGTCCAGTTTATACTGTAAAATGACTAATTTTCACTGGGTTTAAATTTCACTGATTTACCATTTCAGGCATATTCAGTGGGTTTTAAATTCACGATTTCGTCATTTAGATAATGTGTTCTATGCTAAATTTTACATATTCACTGTGTTTTAATTTAGCGCATTTTTCCAGTCAGCGAAATAAGCTAAATTAAAATCCAGTGAATAATTAACCCCTTTACAGTATTCTGCACTTTCCTTCAGAAGATTGGGTCTGAAATAGCCACACTTTTCGAGTAAAAACTATCACAAATTTTGTCTGTTGGCTCCAGAAATATTGGGGTTCATTTTCAGAAATATTCGGGAATACAAGAAAAAAATGCAGACAAATTTGGCCAAGAAACTCCGGTGGTGAAAAGGTTATACCAAACAACGGAAATAAAAAAAAAAATAAGATCATGGGTCTGGCAGTGACATTCAAAATATGTTTGTGAGGAAGATCATAATCATAGCTGGACAACGTGATTTTAACTAAAACTTTTATTTTCCTCCAGCAATTTAAAATATTTGAATGTTCACATTGATAACAAAAAATTAAACTAGTTATTTTTCTGTTTTAATTTTGCCCCATATATTCAAGAAATCGTGTGACCAATAACTCCACGACATGTAATAATTCAGGCATTCAGAATTACACTTTCTTTTCAATTTACCAATAATTATTTTATGATACATTTTCATTTGGCAAATCTGCAAAGTATCATTGTGAATGGTTAACAAGAAATTACCAGCAGAATATAAATCCTCTTAAATTGAGCTAGATTTGTAAACAAGCAGCCTGTCGACTGAGATAGCTCCGCTGTCAGCAATACACATTTCAATTAAGAACTGAAGATATCATTAGAAAATGAACAATATGTATAGTATTAAAGCAATCGAACTGCTGTTTTCAACAAGAATTCAAAAATATCACTTTTTACCAAAAATGAAAAAAATAATCATTGAAATTAAAGAATTGTAGATATCATCATCAAATGAACAAATCAAAGAGAGATCTAACAAAGGTACATATACACCAAGTATCAAAGCATTCAGAATTGTAGTTTCCAAGAAGAAGTCGAAAAAGTAAAAATTTTACCCGGACGCCGGACAATCACTCACATGATAAGCTCCACTCTACAAAGTCGACAGCAGAGCTAAAAATGGACACTTAAAAGGCATCGTTTATCCTTGAAAGTCAGTTGTTCATAAAATGAGCAGCAAAGTGAAGCCAGGATATCAACTTTATGTCATATTTTTTGGCTAAAACAACATTTTAAACACATCTTGAGTTTTTAACTTAAGAAAGATACTGATAGATTCAAAAAGCAATTGTCATGGCAACACAATGACTGTGTGGCTTGACGACTGAGCTGTATTTTATCAGGTGTCGCCGAGCAGGTTCGATTTGTAGACTTATGGATAACGCAACGTATTGTAGTATGTAACTCGTCTAACACCGTTTATTGTCAACTGACTAAAGTTTAGAACAATATAAAAAACTAAACTGTTGAGCTCGTGAATACTCCAAAAAAAGAACGTAATCGAACAGTAATAAAGTTGACGCCTCTTTCTGGTACCGGTCTCTGATAGGTCATATTTATCGGTAATATTTAGCGTTCTCGCTACATCCAATGACAGACTGAGCTGCAACTTTTACACAATGTTAAATGCTTTATCAAAGCACAGCTGTATCCCCACAGTGTGACGTAAGACAGGACAGATAAAAAACCCACATCACTACAGTGTGACGTCACATACTGCCAAAAGTTTGTCATTGTACGCACTGCACGCTTGAATGTTGTTCAGAGCATCAGGGTTGTATAAAGTCTGATAAGTACTAATTGTTGTAACAATGATTCATTATGACAAGCTCACAGGTGTTTACATTACATGTACTATAAATCAGTTCCCCCCAAAAAATCGGTTGAAATTTGAAAAAACAAATTTGAGCAAATATCTTGAATGAGCACATATTTCATATGAAATAGAAGACCGTAGGTTTAACAAATTTAGCATACAAGCCTCACATAATGTATTTGTATTTGGTGTTATTTCAGCAACATAGTTCCACTGACAACACTTGCTATTTTTACTATTTTATACTGGGGAAACATGTGTGATAAATATATAATTCCGTGATATTTTCTCTCAGGTTAATGTCAAAGTAGCATCAATCCCTGTCTGCATACAAAACTGGTGATAATCACTTGTCTCTACTGATCAATCTAAGAGAAATTTTCATGGGATTATACATAATTATACATCATGTCTAAAGGGCTTCCAAAGGATGCACTGTTCAGTGTTGTTTATTAGATATCTTGAGGCAATTATGACATACCTGACTATTATCAATAGCTTTGTGGAAAAAGTCGTCCAAGATCAAATTAGTGATGTCTGGATTCTTAACAAATGCTTGTTTGATTTTACCAAGAAATGCACTGAAAATGAAAACATGCAGAGTTTGATGAATGGTGAACCCATAGCATACATACAATCAGCAATCGATGTGCAAAAGATTCAAGTCAGAAATACAAGTATGGGAACATCTAAAATGATGGTGACTATGAAGTACATTAACCAATGATTCATCTAAACACTGCCACATGGTATATACATGTACTATGATTGAATAAACAAACACAGTTCATAAACCAAATTTTAGCTTGAAACGCATAATGTAGGACATAGTATATGTGCTCAAAAAAACAGGTAACATACAAAATACAAAGGTATCAACAAAATTGAACTCTAGAGGTTTGTACTTTTTTGAGTAGAGGTTCGGGTGTGTGTGTGTTTGTATAGAAGTAGAAGTGGAACCAGTGGTCCGGACACACACCAACAAAGTGGAACCTTTTGTACAAGTGGAGCCTCAAACATGGGGAATCACAATGTTTCATAATTTATATTTAAATGAATTTTAGTCAAGTTTGCGAAGCTTAGGTTTAGTAAAGGGGGAAGATATGGTTCAATTTATATTAATATTAATATAATTGTACCACACCTTCCCCCGTTACTAAAGCTAAGCATCGCAAATATTTCTATGTTCAGTCACGAGATATTCACAATTCTAGATTGTATTGCATTGTTATTGAGTTTAATTAAACTCCAATTAAAACGCAACCCTATATAGGAAAGTGTATTAATGGAGTTCATTTCACAACTATATTAAAAGTGAATACAATGTGTGACATGACAACTACGATTACACGCGTGCGTGCGTGTGTGTGTGCGTGTGTGTGTGCGCGTGCGTGTGCGTGTGCGCGTGCGTGTGTGCGTGCGTGCGGTATGGGGGGTGGTGGTGAGGTTGATGTTAGTACCAGTTATGAATGCCTTGCGTTTCCTGTACATCAGTTTTAATAATCGATGGTCCTTTAGTACATATTCATACAATAAACTTGCAATGCAAATCACTGAATGACATCTTACCTTCTAATAATGCAACCTCCTCGCCACATTAAGGCAATACCACCATAGTTTAATTTCCAGTTGAAAACTTTGGCTGCTTCACGTAACAGCATGAAACCCTGTGCGTATGACACAATCTTAGAAGCATATAGGGCCTATAAAAAAATAAAAATTCATTTTTTACAGCATAAAATAGGTTTAGAAAAAAAAATTATTGCAGACTTGCAATGCACCAGAAACGGAAGAGTCTAATATTCAATACCTTTAGTTTAACATTTATGCTTTCGAATATCATATTTGTTATATTAGAAACACATTCCAATAGAAAATCATTTGTTGAATACTGAATCATTAAAATAGTATTTATTTTGACCACAAACACCTTATTAATTGT